AACAAAATGCCAATTTTCTTTTGGAGGCACCCTTCTTTAAAACCTATTTCTCTACTTCAGAATTAAGTGCCCAATTGTTTAAAGCAGATCTCCTCCACTGTCCGGCCACAAGAATGTAATAGTATCCTCGGTTGACTATTTGTACACAAACATGTTGAGAAAAGAACATAGGTTCAACTTCGGCGTGCCTTTATTAAACTTCTTCTTTCATTTGAATATTGAGTGGCAAAGAGTGTTCGTTATACAGCATAGCGGCAAGTCTCTGCGTGTATTATTGGCTTTAGCTCATGGTATTAGTATTTTGTTGCTAGTATATTGTATGTCATTGAAGTAAATCGTCAATTAAATTAAGATTGCCATTAATGAGACTTTCGAGAAGAGACAAAAAGTCGCGTCAATGGCCGGTGGAACCACCGCCCGTCGAGCCTTCCGGGATATCCAGGTATTCCTCCTCTCCCAGGGACTTATCCCTTACGGTATCACAATACGGAGATGAACTAAAAGATCCCTTACAAACATTGTCTTCAAGCTTTGTTGGGTAGTTCCCAGCTGGCTTGTAACGAGCAACAACGTATGTGCAGGTCCAAAGTCCTTTTTTTCCTGTGTATTTACCAATGCCGAGTTCCGTCGAGGCCTTCCACACTACCTGAGTAAAATGCCCAGTGACACCCTGCGACGAATGGTCGCTAAAGTTGAAGTCGCACACTTCATCGTACCTGCAAAAAAATCGACTCGCCCTAATTTTGAAGAAGTGTACAGTGGAGCCCCTCTTTGCGGGCAACCTGTTAATACGATGATCTCGTTGTTACGGCCACTTTATTCCGACCCCGGCGAACGAAAGTTCAGCCAGTCATATTCTTATTTTAAGAACTCCACCGCGAGTTGATACGGCCAGAATTTTGTGTCCCGTTGGTAACCGGATTAACAGGGTTCCACTGTATGTGGTGGTAATGAGCACCCCAATAACAAAACCTCCCTATTCCGGCGGATAGTGCACAACATGCTTCCTTCTGCCTAAGGAGATTTTACCTCGGAGGGGGGTTCTCCCCATAATGGCCTATTCCGGGGGGGTCTCCGCTTAAAAGTGTACCTTTTTCAGGTTTTAGGCATATTAAAGGGTAAGGATTTTACAATGTGAGGTGTACGAAAGAGCAGGGAAATCTGTCTTTTAGGTATTCAAAAGGGATTTTGGTTAAAATATTTCGAACAGATGCACCTTACGGTAGTAACATTTAATTTATTAAGTTCTACATCTTTAACTTCATTTTAAGGGTTTAGAAAAGAGATGCAATCTTCTTAAGCAGATATGTGAAAGACGTACCTTTTTTCATTAAAAGGCATACAAAGGGGATACCTTTTCTGCATGACAAATGGTATATAAAAGGGTAAAGGGGTTGGACCTTGAGGCGGTGCCTCCCCGTATAAAACTTTGTAGAGTACATCTCCGGGAATTTTACTTACCATGCTTTCACTGCGTCTTGGACGGTTATACCTTCTGCTGCAGTTGAACACCCATAGAACAGGTTTTCACCCTGCCCCGGACGGGAGTCCTTATCCGAATGCTTTAAATGCCCCTGCTTGAACAATTTGTGCGCGAAATCCTTTGCAGCGTCACTCATTGAATCGTCGAGTGTCATGGGAGGAGCTTCGTGAATACGGCGAAGACCATTGTGCTGGTCCAATGCATCTTGCCTATAATCTGTATGGCAAAGTAATTAAACCCCTGTCCTTTACATTTGTTAACCCACCCCTTAAGACTCTGGACCCTCAAGAAGTCAGAACAAATTTTAACCAGAGAAAAAGTATATCGTTATGAGGGAGGGCCGCTCGAGTTGAGTTAACTTTGGACGATATTTTAGTGAAGATGTGCTTTTTAAGAGGAATTCACATTAAATCGTTGTTTGATCTATGATTTGAAACTAGTTGCGATCTCCGATAAAAACGTCTTCCCAACAAAGATGGAAAAGACTATTTAAACACAAAGATGGAAAAGACTATTTAAAGAAAAAAAAAAGAAATAAGCCATTGGGGCTATAAAGATTTTTTGGTATATCTCGCTCATGGGTAAAATAATTGGTCGTGAGTCGATATTGTCCTTCATTCCTGGATCATAGAACCTTTCTCTCTGCACTGAGTCCTTGTACTGTCTTTATAGCACTCAGTTTCACACTTACCTGCCATAACCACGTACATACATAACAGCGCTGACACCAAAACTTTCAATGACGGCATTTCTTTTTTGTTCTCTTAAACTGGCAGAAAAAAAGTATAAACAATAAAAACGCTAAATAACATCAGTAAGCTCACCAGCTTACAAAGTCAACAGGTGCAAAAAAGCGCCTACACAACTAAACATACTTAACACCTGAACTAAACATATTTATAAAGAAGAGGTATTTCTCAGGACTAAGTTTTTAAAAATACCATTAGAAACAAGGAAGCTTGCACACAAACTAGTGAAAAAATTACTTAGAAAAAAAATCCCCTGCTGCTAATCAGAACGAGGACCAGCTAAAATGACCTCAGAGGTTGAAAAAATGTAACCCTAAAATTATGGTGATCTTTGATAACATGAAAATCCGAGAAATCGTGAAGCAATGATATCGTTGAAACTGCAGAGAAAGTTTTATCAGTGTTTAAGGTACTTTTGTTCTCACGGTTTTGCTTTTTTCTGTTTAGATACCAAGAAACATCAATGTCGCAAAAGAAATTCAAAAAAATGCTAAACAGAGTAGAATTACATTGCAGCATTTTTCGTTGTTGTTTTATAACGGACCCTTTCTTAAGTGAAAACTCAGATTTGTTCTTTAGAGCCCGGCCTCGTAGCAGCCATTACTACTGAACGAAGTAAACGAAAGGACAATTGAGCTTAAGGCAACTTTGATCTTAAAACAAGTAAATCGAAGAGGAAACAATCGAGTGAATATAAAACTAAACACATTTCATATTGCGCGAGGATCTGTAGACGATGTGTAATTTATTGAACAGAAACTTTGACAGAAACCATTCTCTAAAGGAAGCGTGCTCGTACTTCTTTTGTATTTTTGTTACATTATTAACGCTGCATAATCTAGATTAGAACAAAAAAAAAAACAATGGATCCGTTCAATGAGAAAAACTGATTATATCTATACAGTATACTCTGTCCGTTCTCATATATAGTGTAGATAAGTTGGTTCACTCACCGATTTTCTGATCTCTGTCTTTTCACGCGGTATCAAGCCCTCACAGTGTAAAAACCCAGTCTAACTTCACCTTAAACTTATATGTCCACCAGCAAGGCAAGAATGTTCATTGGTAGGATTTTTATCAACTTGATGGGGAGTCTAAGAGAGCATGCAGGGGCGGACCCGGGATTTTTCCAGGAGGGGTGGTGGTATGGGACATGTTCCCAAATTGTTGCAATTTGATGAGAATTGGAACCTTATTGAAAACCGTTTCACCAGAGATACTAGCAGTGCCACAAATTAAAGTAGAAATTACAAGAAGGTACCTGTCCAGAAAGTGTGCTTTTACTTCTGTAGTAATATTTACAACCTTGTTCAATTTTTTTTTATGTTTTGCTTCTCCAAAGGNGGGGGGGGGGGGGGGGGGGGGGGTTGGCTACCCACCTAATCAACCCTTCCCTAAATCCACCAATTGAGAGAATAGTGAAATTTCTGATATTTTTAACACAAGCACAAGTCCGTTCTCAAGCCTTCAACTTACTGCCTACTGAAAATGGTGAAAACTAAATACGCACCAAGCCTTCAATAAGCGCCCAATCACAAGGTCCAAAACTTTAACAAGCGCCCGGGGCGCTTAATCGAATGAATACGGTATGCTCCGGGTGGGTGTTCCTGGCTCGCCCACGCGATTCACCAGTTATATTTCTGCGTATGACAGTTGTCAATTTTTTTAAACACATTTCCCCACGCTCAAAGAAATAATGGGTTGTTAACTCTGCGTGTCAAGATATAGCTTTCATGATTTGATATACATAGAGGTTATTACGCGGCGCCGAGGTATGAATGTTACTTTCGAGTGTTGTGAAAACAATATTTTACGAACGAGTACAGCGAGTGAGTAGAGTTTTGTTTTTAACTCGAGAAATCTATAACTCATATCTTCAAGCCACAGTGTAATTTCCTTTTTGTTATATAGAGGAATCTGTCGCACGCCAGTTTCACTGACTGTTTGCACAAACAACCGTAACAACGAAGATGACGTCATCAACATCCTGACTGGTGAGCTTATGGAATATACGACACTCGTGTCCGGATGTAGTTTCGTATGAATTTAACGAGACAGTGGTTTATTTTTCCCGCAAAGTACTCTTGTCTACATAATAAAATAAATTGCTGTATAGCAGGATTTTTTCCCCAAACAGCGCGCCCTCTCATTGGCAGGTCACATGGCATTTAACAATAAAACTGCTTACCGTCAAAAGTCTTTGAGCGGGCAACATTACAAAATCTATGACGGGGGAGGCGG